AAATTAGCCCCCATGCGGAGGTGGCCGAGTGGCTCGTGGGGGGCGGGGGGGGAGGACGGTTGCTGTGTGCAGAGGCGCTGAGCCGGCACGTGATGAGACCCTGGATTTCAATCCGGATTTCGTCCGGCCTGGCGGCTTAGCGGTAGACCGAGCGGTTCACCATCAGAAGGATGCGAATTCAACACTTGGTTGGCGGGGGGAGGGGTTGACTCTCAGCCCATCATCCCTCCTCTCTGGGATCGATAACACGAGTCCCAATTTTCGTGAAAGTCAAGGGCGGTTGTCTTCTGGCAATACTCGTCCCCGCCATATGATAGTAGAATTTCCACCACCGGCTCTGGGCTGTAAACTGGAGACCGAGCACCACTTCAATGTTAATTTGAGCCGTGAATCACGTTCACTTTTCGTTGGTAAATAAACCGGATTTTCAAGTGTAGCGAGTTGATGATCTCAGCCCTGTCACCAATAATTGCGCAAAAAACAGTATGCTTAGTTTGTCACTTTGGCAGATTTGAGGTCCGTGCACAATTATTTTTAGCCATGCACAGGGTAATGAGTTTGTGGTCTGAGGCCAGGATCTGACTGCATCCACCAAACAAACGCATCGTATGTTTATTTTGGCTTATACTGGCTTTGATCATTACGTTAATTAGTTCAGTTGGCACGCAGTGAACCCTCTTTGCAGGACATATGGCATAAAACATGTGCCCCTGGCATGGTGAAGTGACTTGAGATATATTCCCGGAACATCGTTTTCTAGTTTCCACTCTCTGACACAGGGTGGTGCGCTGTTATCTGTGACAGTTTAAAATGGCAATATCCTTTTTCATCACATGATACGACAACTAATAGTGTAATAAATAGGATTTTGTAGTGGGGAGTAGGGGTGGGTGGAGGTGTTGTGTGAATTGGGGGAGGGGGCCAGGGGGGTGGTAAGCGTGGCAGTGGCAAAAGCAAATAAAGAAAAAAAATAAAGAAAATTCGCTCCTCCGCAGCATCCCAGGAGAATGAAGACCCGGCTCGATTCCGCCGAAGAGAGATTGCGGTTTCTCCGGGCTTATCCCGGCGACGATGGCCGGCAGTGCAGCTCTGGTGCCACGGGGCAGAGGCTGGCGGAGAGAGAGTGACAAGTCTGTAAAGAGGCTGATCTGTCGTCACCGCCACGGCCGACACTTATTTAATTTTAACGATCCCTTTATCAGAGCCGAAGTCACCGTGACACGTGGGTAATGCTGGGGCGACTGCGGCACATCTGCGCGGGAGTGAATTAACGTTGATTTATGCCCGTGATGCCACGTGCACACGCACCGGTGGAATGTTAGAAACTTGCAATTTTCCGCTATGTGTTCGCAAAACGTTGGGGTGCATTGTAGCTGTTGCGCCTGTGCATTACTGAAGCGCGTTTATTTTGAATGCAATGCATGGTTTTTCTCCGTGTCCAACTTTGACGAGAAATATTTTTTATTTAGGCTTTTTAGCGACCCAAATGTAATCGGTACCGGCAAAGTACAGCAGCACAAGGGTCAACGCATGGGCAAGGCACAATCCGTTGTAGCGCCAGGCCGTGGAGTAGGGAAATTAAGGAAGAGCCAATGAGCTCGGCGAGCGATGGGGCAGCAGCGGAGGAAAGGGAAGGAGACTCTGGCTGGATGTCCCACTTACCGGAGGTTTCTGCTTTTTGATTTGCCGGCTTGATTTATCAGATGTTCGGCATCCTGCTTTAAATCCGCGCTGTCAGGTCTGGATTAAGGGCACGCGTGACTCTGAGACAGGGATAGTGTTATGGGCCAGCCCTACGGCCCCAATAAATGAAGTGTGCTGCCATCTTCCTGCTCTCCCACAATGGTCCTGGTATCCGCAGGCTTACACCCAGCTGCAGGCATGCATTAATCGGCCTCTGATGATGAACAGCGAACTCTGGGGTCGGTCTGTCCCTGAGACAATTACAGTCGGCAGTGAAGATGTGCTCAGAGAGAATTTCTACTCCAAGCGAGAGTTTCCAAGAAGTGTGATGAGAAGGAAGGTGGCGTATGTGGGGCACGTCCTGAGAGGCATGAAGATGATAGCCCCAGAGACAGTGGAAGGAGGGAAAGGGCGGACAAGGAAGGGAATGGATCGATTGGTGGAACAGTGTGAGACAGTTGGGACAGTGTGAGACAGTTGGGACAGTGTGAGAAAGCCGGTAGGACAGTGCAAAGCTGTTGGTGGGATACTCTTAGGCGGTTGGACGAGGCTCTCCGTGGGAGACGCTGAAAGATAGCGAAAGTTGGAACGCATCCATCATGCTCATCTTCAATCATGAGGATGACTAGATAGACAATTCAAATGTATTCTCCTCAAGATAATGCTCTGATATATTTCTGTGAGCATTAATAATTTGGTATTTATGCAATTAGGGTGATAAGGGGAATGATATTGTACAAATGAGTTGGGGGCAATGACAAACAAGAAATGGTAAAAGAAGAGATTTCAAAAGTAATCGATTGCTCTTTGAATTGAACTCTCACCTCTTGGCCGTGCCAGCCGAGGCAAGCACCGCATAAAGGCCACGAGCTTTTGCACTCGCTGGACCCCCTGCTTTGGATCTCACTTCTTCCGAAGCTACTGAAGGACAAAGACGTCTCTTTCTCTCTCAAAATTCAAACGTGACCTAAACACTCGCCTTTTACCTCGCAGATGCGTGGTGCGCGAGAGATGTTTTTTGACGTGACGGCAGCTTCTTTAAATGTCTGATTGTTTTGTTTGAATCTAAACGTGACAATTCATCGAAGGGCCGTTGGTGGGTGGCGATGCGGGTGGAGAGTTTTTTTACGCGATTATAAATAATATCTCCTTGTGTTCATCAAGCGATTCGGAAATTAGCAAAACCATCAAGAGGGTGGCAGCACTCGTGCGCGTGCGTAGCGTGCGTTCGCTCATGCACGCGCGCACACGCGGGAGGGGGACGGGTGTGTGCGCTCGCTCGCTCGCTCTTGCACGCGTGGGCCTCACGTTAAATATTGAAGCATATTCGTAATATTTCAAGGGAAGCCAGTGGAGGCGCGGCAAGAAAGGAGAGGAGACGGCAAAACGCCCATTGCAGGAAATCACGGCGTATTAAAATGATCTGCTCGCACCGCGCTCCGCCTCTCGCCTTTGTCACCGGCTATACCGTTGCGGCTTCTATCTTGACAGCACAACATTTCTTCACTTTCCATTATAACCGTGTTCGGCGCCAGCATTTGTTTAGCCCCTGTCTGTCCTCGCCATCGCAGAGACGGTATCGCTTCGTGCCGAGCCGCTCGGGGACTGTCATTTAAGAGTGTCACTCCGATTCTTAATTCCTGTTTTTGTTTATTTTCGTCGTTCGTCTTTGGCACAATGAACGGCTGATTATCCATCCCGCGAGTCGGGGCGACCACAACCTTGGCTCGTGAGAGCGAAATAAATAAAATAAAAAACGCGGCGTTATAGCGTTAACCCCTTGCGTGTCGCAGGGACGTGCGCTGCCGCGTCCCCCTACGATCCCGTGGGAGAGAGCGGGCCGCTCGTCCCCCGAACCTCCGCGCGCGTCGCACCAAGGTCGGACAAATTTAGCGGAACGGGTTTTAGCGCCGGAGCGAGCGAGACTCCGTCGACCCTGCCGGTGCTCGCGCGACGTCCGTTGGGGGCGGCCGAGACGCGTGTGTCGCGCGCTGGCCGAGGCCCACCGGGTTTCGGTAATTGCCCCTCGCCCGGTGCCCAACGCCCCGTCGAGTCGCAGTCTCGCTTGCGCCACCGCCGTCCACTGGCGCGTGACGGTTTCAAGGTGAAAAAGCGGAGGTCGCAGGTGGAGAGTGAATACACGAGACCCTTTTTTTTAGGAGTGGTTTTTTTAATGTTTTCTACGTAAAATTTAAAAAAGAAATAAATTCCAGTGAAGCGCAACTCCCAGGGGTTCGCCTGTCAGTCGGGTCGCGACACGTGTTTTGTAAGTGCGCGTGAAGTTGTGAATATTCATGGAAGATTTTTTTTGTCAAGCTTCAAAGCCCTTCCCCCCACCTCCTCCGCCGCCACCCTCCTACCTCCCACTCATCCACCTTGTTTGAAGGTTATTGTCTTGCGCGGTGGAGGAGGGGGGGAAATATATAATAAATAAACACAACAAGACTAGACAAAACAATCGGCTACGGAAATTCTAAATGACCTAGCCGTGTATCTCCGTCGTTCCCCGTGTCCCCGCTGGAACCGGCAACAAAGCGAATTATTGCCATTGTAATAAACACATTTCATGTCGCGCAATCGCGTACGGGCCCGTTCCACTCCGACCTCATTAAATCAGAATTTACACATTTCATTTCCCCAGCTCCACCCACGGGGGCTTTACCGCCACGTGCCACGGGGCCGCGCCGCCACTCGCCCGCCCGCCCGCCCGCCCGCGTACACCACGAGATATTGCCTCTGGATTTTTTTTGCCCTTTTTTTCACCGCGCGCAGTTTTTTTTTTGGGGCCGCTGTAATTATCAGCGCTGATGAGTCCTCGGCCGGAGCACCGGGGGCAGGGCATCGAGCCTTATCGCCCATCCCCACGTGTGCCCCCTCTGACACATCCAATTTCCACGGGTTTGGAGCAAAAGGGACCCCGGCGTGTGCGATAGGTGAGACCGTGTGTTTTGTTTAGCACCGGCTCGCGCCCGGACCCTCGGCATCTAGACGCCGGGGCTGCGATGGTTTCCGCAGCGCCGAGCGCCGGTCTGCGGCACCGGTCAGGGATGCGCGGCCCCCGTCATGACCCGCGTCCCCCCCCCCTTCCCCCTCACTTAAACAACCACCGTGGTGAGGGCCTCTTAGCCACTGGAGACGTGTGAGAGACAGCTACTGCTGCAGCCGATAGCAAAAGATTACAGCTTGTATTCCCAGAGTGAAGGTGCGGAGAGTATGCACAGCTGCCCCCGCACACCTCCGCCCGCCTCTGTGCTCACCTCCACTAAACATCACCCTTTTCTCTGCTCCCTCCCTCCCACACGCCCTCCCCGCTTCAGGTGGAGCGGATGACAACCTGATCGAAGGCGGAGGGGTGCAGTTTGTGTGCAAGCCAGGCGCACGGAACATCACCGTCATCTTCCACCCACTCATGAGGTGAGAGATAGGCTCCCTCCCTCCCTCGCTAACGCTCACACATACCGACGTGCGCACTTAGACCTCGCACTGACTGCATGGTAGCCACTGGGGAGGCAGATGGTGAAACGGATGTGGAAACACGTGCACACGTGTGCACACACCATAGCCATAGCATCACACATGACAAAGATCCCCTGTGTACTTCTTCACAGGCTGTTACGACAAAGTGGTTTCAGTGAGTGAAGGTGGTTTTGGAACCAACGCCATGCTTGGCCGCATTTATCTCCCCAGTGGTGGCGTTTGTTTACACAGCACATCAGGTACCTTTTTTGGGCTGAGTTCACCTCGGGGGTGGCCAGGAGAGGTTCACGTACCACTTGGCACAGATGTTATCCTTGGCCCGGAATTGGAATGATGAGGTCACTGCGTTCATCATGCTGTGCACGAGTGATTGCCCCATCGCTCCCCGCATACACACAAGACAAAGATCCCCCATATAACCATAGCAAACTGTAGGAGCAAGTGCTATTAGTGGGCACCTATGAAGACTGGCATGGCACACGATGGGGCAGTGGCCAGGACCATGCCAGCCACCTTCTTCTTCTGAGTAGTGATGTTTACATTTTGCACAAAGTACTTATTTGAGGCTGAGTCGACCTAGGGGAGGCCCAGGACCGGTTCAGGTAATCGTCACTGGTGTTAGCCGTGAACGAGGATCGAACTCGGGGTGCCACCACCCCCACACACACACAAACACACACACAAACATACTTAATCCTGCATTATGTGAGCAGACGAAATCACGTAATTACACCTTCACGCGTGTTTTGAGAATCCACACAACGTGCGCGGAGGCACTGAGCAGAGCAGCCCATGAATGTTATTAAAAGTGCCTTGGTCTCCTCCCGCGTTTAAACGTACATAGTATACCACGGTAGCAATGCTATAAATCTTTCATTGTGGTGGTGGGGATTTAGACTGAATACCTCAACAATTGTGGGTGAGGAAAGACCTCGCCAAGACGACGCTTCCCCAGCCCGGGTGATGTCATATCTGGCCCTTCCGAATACCGCCGGCGGTATTGATAGTGACAGCGGTCGTGGTCGTAGTAGCAGTGTCCTTTATTTAGCTAGGAGATGGGATGCAGACCCCTTGTGTTACGTCAAGTCACAGAAAGTTTTAAAACATTTTAAATCCAACTAAATCTAGACTATATTCAGCAATTGCAAGTGACATTGTTAGAGGATAAGCAGAAAAGGTGAAATTCACTCAAAAAAGTGAAACATACAAGAAATTGAATGTGGGGTGGAGCGGTGGCGTGTTGGTTGGCTGAGTTCAGTTTCTTTTCAAGGCCAACATCAGTGGCTTGTTTTATCTGAACCAGTCTAGGGTTCCAATCCATTCTCAGCACGCACTGACCAGCGTGGTGAAGTATGGTCAAACAATCCCCATGACCGAAACAATCGGTGAGGCCTTTATCCAGGAGTGGATTGATAAAGGAATGTAAATAATATTTTTTCATTATTTTCACTCATTATCATGAATACTTCTACTGAGCTGTGTTTGTAATGAGAGCACTTGGGATTCCAGGCAGACTAGGTTCATATCTCTGAGGCTGGGATTAAAGCCAGACATATCCAACAAAACTAACCTCTCTCACTTAGTTTGCCTGTAGGGGTTTATGATTTATATGTTTAATCCCAATCGAGTAATTTTCAAATTGGTCAAATGTGGACCCTGACACCGGCAGACAATGGCCTACTGCTGTGTGGAGCAGACGGCGCATATTCACACAGCAGTTACACCACAGTAATAACTAGGGCGGGCCACCGGGGTCGAACCGTGAACCACTGCAACATACCACTCGCAGCATACCACTCATTCAGCTGAGTTGAGCTCGTGGTCTGGGTAAGCCTAAGAGCTTTTATACACACATTGCTGCATGCTTTTGTGTGTAGTTAAATCTACCAGCATGGGTGTGCATCTTTAGTACACATCAATACAAATCCGAGACCTTTGTGCTTTTAAGTTAAGTTTCATGCAAGGCCGCAGCTCGTATCTCTAGCCGTGTCACCGGGCCTCCCCACGCCCCCCTCCCCCCCTCGCAGTTCCACGGCCCCCACCCCTGCCGAGTGATGGAGCCGACATTAATTTGCGTTTTAATGAGCTTAGGATTGGGGGAAGATTTCATTACATCCTCATTAAAGCCCTTCTCCGTGCGGGTGACCATGGGATGACGAGACTGCGGTGCAACAGGTTTAACCCCTCGCTCGCCGCAGCCGGTGCTACTGGGAACCAAGGCGGCGGTGGAACCTGGCAGGGGCTGCATGGCGGCCGGTCGCTCGGTGGCGTCCCCTCATCCAGCAGCGGACTGTAGAAAGGGCCGCACTTATTCATTATGGTATTCATTACAGTATAAGTATATATTATATATGTATTTGTATGTGTATGTTTGTCTCTATATATGTATACCCGGGCTGTATGTTGCATCTGTGTGACACCAGTTCAAAGCGTGTTACTCATGAGAAGAGTGAAGGTGAGGTATGGGTGGGCCAGCCACGACGTTACGGCACTCGAGTGATGTCACTGACGTCACTGCCCCACAGCTTTATAACTCGTTACTGCAGCAGCAATGTCGCTCAAATGGCTTTGATGGACCTCCTAACAACGGTTTCAAATAATTTTTTGCATTAACGAAGCTGTAGACCGGTATATGCGCAGCCTGTTGGGTGGATATTCTGCAAGGTCATAGCTTTCGGTTGTTTGGGTTTAAACTGTTTTCAATGATAAATCGTTGAAATATTGCTCACCCGGCATCATCGGCACAAGAGTCGTTTGTTTGTCATTGAAAAAAAAACAATGGGTGCATTTGTAGCCGTCTGTGTTGAGTTCGGAGAATCAATTCGATGGCACCTGGGGTCACCAGACAGATTCCATTTGTGCCTGGTGCAGAAGCGTGCGGGATTGGGCAATGACCGGTGATGTGAGTGATGGATCGCACCACTTAAAAAGGAGACTCGCATAGAGGCCCAAATTCTCACATAAAGAGCAACAGACTCCCATAGAGACCCATGCATTAACAGAGACCCAGAGACGCATTTCGACATAGAGACCCATGCATTCACAGAGACCCAGAGACGCATTTCGACATAGAGACCCATGCTATGCAGCACAATGTGATGCTGCATAGCACTTCACCGCAGTCACAATTAGGCAACTCTCAATATCCCCCACTTAAGGAGGAGGTAGCCGCTCCTGCCACATGTCGTTCTAACACGGTGGTTAACTGCAGAGTCCAGGGAATTGGAGACTAGGAGAAGCTGGGAATTTCTATCACTGACGTGCATTCAGGTAACACTATTCAGTTTCTGCAAAAGCTACTAGCACATAGGGTGAACCGTCGGACAACGTGGCGTCGAACAGTACGTGGCGCTACAAACCCAACACATGTCGGGGAGCCATAGAGCACAACCACAAACACCTGCGCAGTAGGGGCGGTTCTTGCGTTGGATATTTATGCCCAAGGGAGTCGTTGGATCCTGAGTGGCGGCTGCTCGCTTGCTCTCCGGGTGCCCTGGCCTGGCCCCGGTGTGGGTGGCAACTCAGCCGGGAGTCTCTCCGCCTTCTCGCGTCTTGTTCGTGAGCGGCCGTGGTACAACTTCCTCGAGGAGAGGTCGCGAGAAGCGCAGGGCACCGACGACAACGGTGAGCGATGTGGTTCACGTGGCAACGATGGCGATGATGATGATGATGGCATGGTGCCCGGAGAGAGGAGCACGGGGAACGAAGGAGTTAAAGTCTTAATGAGTAAAGCTGCCGGCCTTTGGCCTGGGATGAGAATTTTCACTTAGATTGCAAATGGCTTTTTTTTCACCCAAGACATTCATCAATGAGTGATTGTTTTGCTGATGAGCAGAGAAAGGTAGAGGCGTGAGACCCAACCAGGAATAAATGAAGATTAAGAAGGTAAGGTGAAAGTTTTTTTCCACTTCCCCCCCAGCCCCCCGATCCCCTCTCCCTTTTGGATGAAGATTAAAAACAATGGCTTTAATCAAGCACATTGTCGAGGAGAAAATGCCACCAGATGCTCATTACGCCGACGCTTTCGCGCAGCGGAGTTGGTCCCGTTGGATTACCCGCGTGTGTGCGCGGCTTGCGTTGTTTTTGTTCCCTCGTCTCGCCCCGAGCAATCCTCTCGTTCCGTGGGCGACGTGGCCCATTGCTTGGGTGGCGCAGGCCAGCAGTGGTATCTGTAATCCCCCCCCCGCCCACCGGCGGAGAGCACAGGATGAAAAAGAGAAACTCTTTACTCTTCAAGGCCCCAAGCCAAGGCGCCCCGAATGCGAAAAACGTGAAGATGAAAAGCTGTTCCCTTCCCTATTCCAGTTTATTTATTTTCTCGAAGAATTAAGGGGACAGATTGGGCCTCATTACCACACTACATACCTGACTTGATAACATTTAATCAAAAGAGCAGTGCGAACTGGGAAACGTTAGATGTGTTGAATAAATAACATACATAATGAAATTATACAAAATAAGAAATAATTGTATTATATTAATTTATAAATAAACTGCTTACAAATGTGTGAGAACGTATCAAAGATATTTCAAATGTGAGATAGAAATCCATGTTTAAACAGAAAATCGCCGGGAGGCACACTTTGCTCCCCTTGCAGTACTTTCAAGATTGGTGTTTGTAATAATAATAATATTACGCAGCAATCATCTCTGCCGGGGGCCGGCTATTCAAAAGCCCCGGCGCCCCTGTCCATCAGTCAGCCGCGACGCCGTCCCTTTCAAACGGCGCCTCCCGCCGCCGCAGGTGAGGAGGAGTTGTGCCGCCGCTCGGGGCTAGCGGCGCGCCGCGCGAGAGCAAACCAGTCGATCCGTTCATCTCCGCCCAGGGCCTGTATGCTCGACAGCGTTCGCACTACACTCTATTTATTTCTGCGATGGCCAACTTTCTCCCCTCCCCTCCCCTCTCCGCTCCCTCTGCCTCCACTGCTTCCTTCTAC